ACAGCCGGTCGCCAGTTTGCTCCGAGCAGTCTGAGTAGAAAGACGTGCGTGAAGTGTTTTTCGACTTTGTAACACGGCGTGATGGAGCGTTCGCTTGAATAGCGATACGCCATCAAGTTTTGCGTGCGACTTGGAAAGAATACAACCGCAACATTCCAGATGCTTCAAGAGGCCTTCAAGGACGACTGCATTTCAAGGTCACAGTCCGAGAGGTGGCACAAGGCGTTCAAGGAGGGAAGAGGTCGCCGACGAACCCCGTTCTGGACGCCCAACAACAGCCAGAACCGACGAAAACGTGAATCGTATGTGCGAAGTTTTGCGTTCCGATCGTTGATTGAGCATCCAGTACATCGCTGACACCCTAAACATGTCCACATTTGCGGTACATGGGATAGTGACGGAGAATCTGCAAATGCGCCCGGATGTTCGAGTACGACCCAGAATCGAAAAGGCAGAGCAGCGAGTGGCACTCAAAATCATCCCTCCGCCCCAAGAAAGCGCGAATGAGCAAGTCTCGCATCAAAACGATGCTCATTGTCTTTTTTGACGTCCGAGGAATCGTCCATTTTGAGTTTGTACCGCAGGGAGAAACTGTCAACTCAGCCTTCTACCTGGAGGTGCTCAAGAGATTGAAACGCCGGGTCGCGCGCGTGAGGGCTGACATAAAGACGCAATCAAGCTCCACCATAACAATGCCCCCAGCCACACGGCCTTCATCGTTGCCAACTACCTGGCCCGGAGCAACACCCCAGTGGTCCCCTAGCCCCCTTACAGTCCCGACTTGGCTCCGTGCGACTTTTTTTTGTTTCCCCGTCTGAAGAGAGAGCTGAAAGGAAAGCATTGGGAGTCCGTGGAAAATATCCAAAAGCATGTTACAACGTTCCTAAGAGACATTCCCGTCGAGGAGTTTCAGCGTGCCTTCCAGGCGTGGCAGACACGTCTCCGCAAGTATATTGATTCAGGGAGAGAGTATTTTGAAGAATTTTGAGCATTTGTACCGCTACGATCAATAAATCTATTTTTCCCAGAAAATGCGCATTACTTTTATAATGGACCCTGTATACATGTAACATAGACTGTAGATTTTTAGCGCTGGCAGTGAATTGCGAAACACGATCTAAGTCCGAAAAAAATATTCGGCGCGTGTTTCAAATAACATATATATGTATGTATATAAATTGAAATTTAAACGTTTTGTTGTTCAAAGCAAACTTTCGAAAGAAACTTTCGATTGAATCACGTTTCTCTATAAAAATTTTATTACAAACGGCGCTAATAAAAGTGAACCTAAAATTCAAACATAAACTTCAATTTTGATGATGTACACGGGGCAAATTTTTTTTGCAAGTTTCTTTAATTATATCGTAAGGCTTAAACATTTTATATTTAAAATTATTTTTTAATCATTACACTACAGTTTTTTTTACAGTAGAAGTGTAACGATTTAAAATGAGCAATGAATTTTCAGGAGCACTTCAAATTGTTATTTCAACAAAAATAATCGTACTTACGACACAATTGAAGAAACTTGCAGAAAAAAATTTTTGTTTACCTCGTACATACCATCAAAGTTGAAGTTCATTTTTTAATTTTACAAGATTTACTTTAGATAAGCGCTATTTGTATTAAAATTTTTACAGAGAAATGTGATTCAAAGGTTTCGAAAGTTATGCTTTGAATAACAAAACAGCTTTTTCAAACATTGCTTCATGATTATTTTTCAAAGAGATACGAATGACTTTTGAATTTAGTTCTTTTTAGAATGTTGTATACAAATTTTCAAAATGATAAAAATTATGAAAAAAATACAGATTATTCTAAATCACATTTAAAAATAACACGCAAATTTGGTGATGATTTACTATCTGGATCATAAGTTATTTTAATATACGTAAATAGTAATATTTTTTTAATCTGTGCTCTAATAACAATGTATGGAAATGTATTAATAAATGATAAAAATCTCAATTTTTAATGTAAGTACATAATGTATTCAAGATTATTCATGTATAGTTACATTGCAATGCATAAACTAATTGCCCAGTAAATAAACAAAATATTTATTTATTTTATATCTTTATAACTAATCAGTGAATCGTTATGAAACTTTGCACAAATTACATTGAATATTTAAAAAACTTTTACAAAAAAAATTTAGATTTTTGTTATCATTAAAAAAATTTTAATTTTTAACAATAAGAATAATAACAAATAAAATAAATAAATGACAAAAATGAGTTATTAAATTAAAATGTAATCTTATTCACACAACTTTCATATGTATTGTATATTTCGTTTGAAGTGTAAGTATTTACACATTTCCAAATTAATTTTCTTTGCAGAAACTGTACGTGTGATACATCTATAATTTTTAAATGATTTTAAATAATTTTTGTTGAGAAATAAATAAAAAAAATTTCAAGATAGAGGAACTTCGTTAAAAATAGTCTTAGCGAGATCTTTTAAAAAACATTTTAAAGCTTAAAGTTTTTACTTTTGAAATCAGTAATTGAGAATAACCCAACTTTCTTTTACGGAGATATAGATATATAAATGGAAATCCGTCAAATCTAAAAATTTACAAAGTTCCATGACCTGAATTAAAAATCGTAAGCACATTCTGTTTATAGCTTTTAAAAGAATAAATCTTTACCTTTAATTTGTTTTTTTGTTAAGAGTTGTATGATTTTTTTTACAAAGTTATTCAAGTTGAAGTAAGAAGGATCGTTTTTGCTTCAGTGTTGATTAAGTCCGCGAAAAAATCGTACGTCATCAAAACAACAAAAAATGGATAAAAATTCGCTCTTTCTGTAATCAGAATTTTGCAAAATTTGTTTGTTTTTAGTTCAGACCATGGAACTTCGTAAAGTTCGTATAAAATTTTTAGATTTAATGGATGTCCATTTATATCCCTATAACTTTATAAAAAATCAGATCGAAATATCAATTACTGATATTGAAAGTAGAGACTTCAAGGTTTAAAATGCTTTATTAAAAATTTTGTTCAATAATTTTTGACGAAGTTACACTCACTTGAATGTTATCTATTTTTGGAGGCCAGATTAACAATTTGTAAGTAATCTTGTATTTTTTTGCATAGTGTGTGTGTGTGTATATATATATGTATATATATATACATATATATATATATATATACATACATATACGTATATATATATATATGTATTCCGTATTTCTCACACTCACATAAATTCCTTATTTTTAAATAAATGATAGTATTACCTTTTCATTGTTCCTAATTTGTATCTTTTCCATGTTGATTGTTAGACATGTTAACCAATGACGTTATATTCTTTGTATTTTTACTTTGCTGTGTGTGGACTCAATTCTTTCTCGTCTTTCAATGAAGGGATGTTACGACATCACATCTTATTACTGAATATTATTATCTTGTAATATAATCTGTAACGGAAAAAGCGTTTTATTATTTTCATATTTCTTAATTCCTTAATACATATCTTTCTTTATTCGTGTTGTTTGATTATTTATATCACTTCATTATAAAATATATTTTCCTGGGATTTTTTAATTATAATATAACTTTACCCTTAGAATATCCACGATGAGTCATTCGTATCTTGTTTCTTTTTTTTTCGAAATACTGCATCTGCCTAAACAATTCTTTCTATCCTTTCCTTCTTTTTAAATGTATAACTTCATAGATTTTTTAAAGATGTTAAAATATATATGAGATTTCATAATTTTTCTATATTTGCAAAAATTATGGAAATTAACCCACACACAAACGACCCATCATGTATGTAGTAAAAGAAAATTGTATATGTATTAAGAGTTAAATGTATAATTTTAAGATTATAAAAAGATCTTATTAAAAGTAATACGAAAAATAAATTTATTTAAGTATAAAAAATACAGTATATACAATATTATGTGATATGACAGCATCTATTGTATTTCATTCATGAAAATAACGCACAATGTTTACTTATTGGCATATCTTTTGAGCTCTATTCCTCTAATAAGAAATAGAATTTTGACATCTTTTTTATATTTATCGCAAAAATCTGCATATAATATTCTATTAGTATCAAGAAAAAAAAGTAACGACTCGTTATATTTTGAGTAACAATAACGATAACGGGTTACTTTTGCAAATCAATAATGAGTAACGAGAACAAGTTATTTTTTAGGAAAAAGAACAGTAATGGTAACGAGTTATTTTTATAAAGTAACGTAACCAATCTTGAATATAACAAAATACGATTATCATTTTTGTTTAAACGTAAACCAATAAGGAGGCATACGAATGATGCAAACTCTGTGTCCGTTTTTAAATTAAGTCCATTCTTCTATATACAAATGAGACATTTCGAAATTTAATTGTTTATTGAGAAATCTTTCTTTGTCAAGAATCTGGACATTCTCGCAATCGAAATCATGGGTACAAGTCTTATATTTTTTTATACTATGATTATATTCAGACTATCCATAGGCGGTCTGAAATAAAATCGTCGTTAGTGCGGTAACAAATCGGACCGATCATTAACATCGTGAGAAGTGTGAGCGCTGTGGGCGTGAATAGGACCGCAACTTTAGATTGCTGATGTCTTTCCCCACTACTATATTCTTGTCATGCCGCACCATGTTTGCGGTGAGTTTCCACGCATGTGCATTTAACCTTTCCGTGAATTGCCACATAAAGAGTCATAGTTACAGACAGTTAGAGGTTAGATTTTAGAGAGGCGTGCACAAATAAAATTCTTTATTTACAAAAAAATGTTTTTTATATTTTTTACTCAATTAAAAGTGATGGTTCCATCATGTTTCGGCGTAATAACAAAATATTGGGTCATCTAAAAAGTATCCGCGGATACTTTTTAGATAATCCAATAACATAAAACGCATAAAGTAACTAGGCAGAAACTGTTGATGTTCAAATGAAATAATATGATTGGTCGGTGCAAGTTACGCTTACGCAAGTTATGCCGCATATGACGCACCCTTAGAGTAATGAACTGATAATATTAGTACTAATCTTATAGTTTATTAGTTTCATAAACATATACATATTTAAAAATAAATAATATTCGGTTTCTATTTAAAATTATGATTTTAATGTTATCGAGTTTGATTATCAGTAGAGATGATAACTGTAGAGAAAAAAATTGTAATTTTACAATATATAAAATATTACAGCATTATTTGTATGTATATTTATTTATAAAACATTTATATAATAAAAAATCATTAATTTAATGATTTTTTTATATTATCCAAATAGTTATGTTAATAATCGCAAATTTATATCAATTGTCGATAATGTTCTTTCACTTTCGTGTCCTCGAAGCTCTTTTATATGGACGAAAATTTGCCCAGGGTTGACGGTCTTTAATAGTATCTCGTCGATGTCCGGCCCTAGGAGCGCCTAAAGTCCCTAGAAAAACAAAGTCTAACCATCGACTCATATTTTCGATTGGCTCACTATGACTGTTAACTTGCCCTTACTATGGCAGCACGAATCACAATGTAAGGAAATGGCGCGCTTATTGAAAAACTTGTAGACATGAAATAATGCAAAACATCTTTATGTATTTGATTTTATAATCGTAAAGAAATGTTATAATTATAAAGAAATATAGTTATGAAGAAATACAATCTGTTTAATAAAAATATAAAATTTCAACATAATTTCAAACAACGAAACGACCAGTATCAAATGTGTTCCGCGCACACACTTTCACAAAGGTTGCTGGTGAGAGAGAGTAAAAACGAAATGTAAAATCAAAACAAAACAGCTTGGCAGAATTAACAAAAATTAGGGATGACCCGAGACAAGACAAATACCGTCCCGATTCCACGCTCATTATGAAACTTCTAAGTACGAAAGTGTAAAGTGCAATCACTAATGCCTAGTTCAGATTGGACGCAGCCAGCGTTAAGCAGCGGAGCAGCAATCAATCAACAAGGCAATATTTATAGTAGCGTAAAAAATATCGCCTTGCTGGTTGGTTGCTATGATAATGATTTATGATATATTATGATATAATGATTTAAAATATAAAATAAATCACTTTTCCTGGGGTTTTTTGTGGTGCTGATCAGGAATTTAAGGTCAGGGTATCAATCATGAAACTTTATCCCTAGGATGGAAAGTAAAAAATGAAAAATTTCTCCATTAATTTCAATGGTAAAAATTTTCACTTTTCATTTTTCATCCTAAGGATAAAATTTCATGATTAATACCCAGAATTCCAAAATTCAAAATGGACCCAATATGACGGACTAAATATTCGAAAATTTTAACCTTTTTCGCTATCTATGCATGAACTTTTTTATGTGACAAATTCCTTAAAAAACTTTGGAATTTTTGAGGTCGCTGGACTTGATGTTAAATTTTGAAAATTGAAGATGGACGTATCCTATATGATGTATAATAGTTAAAAATTATCAAAATCCCATAAAATATAGTTTCTAATCTAAATAAGTGAATCCAACATAAAAGATTCAAAATTTCGATTCGAAATTTCCATTTCGGATATCAATTTTTACGAAAATTTTTTAAAATTATTATCTGTCATATTGGATCAACAATCTTCAATTTTTTAAATCTGATATTAAATTTATAATCAGCGACCTCAAAAACTCTTAATTACAAAATTTTTATGGAATTCATCAAATAAAAAAGTTCATAGAAGTCGAAAATGATCAAAAAATTCAAACATACGGTCCGCCATATTGGGTCAACCATTTTGAATTTTGGAATTTTTACTTCAAATTAATATTCAGTGACCTCAAAAACATTAAAGTATGCATTATCAATTTAATTGCTGCACTGCAAAAATGATTTATTGGCGTTATGAAATATGCGGATTTTTCCGTCATGAAGCAGTTAAGGCTTCTGACTAATCGCGGCGGTTATGTTGGAATCGTGATGTCAGAAGCGAGGAATGACACGTTAATTTATAACGTTACATGCCATTTATAAGTAAAGACAATTTGGATAAATCTAATCGACGAAATCGATTTAAAATACTTGTAAAAATCAGGATTGACGAAAACTGTTTTTGCCTCCCTTGACAGTAAATAATCGTAAAAGGCACGTAAAGTAAGCCTATATTTGGGCAGAAACATATGGTCTGGCAGCCGTTGAAACGAGTAAAATACATTTTTACATATAAAATTTTAGGATAACTTTAATTTTCATCGATAATTACGACTTTGATAAGTACGAGACAAGTCACATTTTCATAATTAAGCAAATAATAACGAAATGGCAACATAAATTTCGTCGTCAAAACGTCATATTTTCACGCCTATAAGTTCAGCCATTTATCGTGATGCGGCGCTATAACACACACACAAGTCCATGTACAGCCGGTCACAGAAAGGTTGCAACACTCTTTTCTAGATAGGTTTTTAAATGCAGCTTACTCACTGAGCGATTGGTTCTTATTCATAGATTCTCAAATAAGAATCAATCGCTCAGTAAGTAGGTTGCACTCCGAGACCTATCGAAAAAAATGTTGTTTGTGTACATGTGCTGTCGGTGCGCCGAGAGTGAACGGAACAGCGAGCTCCTTCTCACACTAATCGTTTATTTCAAGCAACCGAAAATGCTTTTTCAGCAATCTCGGCCGCTTGACGACCCTCGGCATCAATAAAGAGCGAGGGGCATTCTAAATAATATATAAGTTTTAATAAATCGTAGTAATAGTGTCCTTCCCATTAATCCAGAATAGTATAAATCGCAGAATAGTATGTTAAAACGCAACAGTTTACGAGATATTTAATTGTTTACGATTTTTCATGCGAGTTATATACTTGCTTCGAAAATTCGAGTAGCAAGACTAGTTCAATAGAAGTAGAATTTTACCGGAAAAAAATTATAAACCAGCATTTCTCTTCATGAAAATCTTCGAAAGGCCATCAGAAAAAAATGCGTATGTTTGAGACTCGAGACTTGTAAAGAAAATTAAACAATGTCATGGCTTATTTCGAACTTATAATTAGAATAATTTTAAATTAATATAATTAACATAAGAATATAAATACTAAATAATATTCTAAATAAACATTTTGGCTTACAAAGCTTTCTTCAGTGTTAAAACACAGTAATACAATATTAAATTAACAAATCAAATAAATACCAAATACAATGAAAATAAAAAAAAAAACCGTCAGTGATGAAGTGTCAGTATATAAAGAATTCAAACATCAAAAAGTATTATGATAGATTACAATAAGATAAGAAGATTAAATACTTTAGTCAACAGTAGATTACATTATGTCCCTTGATAAAATAATTTTGACAAATTCCTCGGTTGAAATCGAGAATCCAATTTGTCACAAACTTGTATCAAACGATTTAAGAATTCATTAGTTACAAGTATTTTATGATATTCTGTAGAACAAGTAGATACATTAAAATAATATATTATTAG